TTTATGTAACATTCACTTTTGTATACTGTAATAATATATGTAACGGTTTTTTATGAGGCAAGAATGGATTGGATTTTGTCTATTCGAATTCGTATTTTAAATAGCGAATACTTTTTTGTGGATTCAATTGAATTCAATTGGATTCAATTAGATTCAATTGGATACAACTGGATTGAAAAACTGCGTTTCCTATTCAAAACTATGAATTGAACAGTATTCACTATGGTCACAAACGCACCGAAAAAGCTAATATTATTTTATGATCGAAAAGTATACAGATATGCTCCATGTAATTCCTATAAATGAATAAAAACGTATTCGGATTGAAAAGGATTCATTTTAACATTCATGAATCCGTATTTCTGAAAATTTTAATCCATTTTAATCCATTTCAATCCATTCTCGGATACTGGGACGCACACTTGGCGCCTTTTTTCCCTTTTTTTTAAAAAGGTAATTTTGTTGTAATTTTAACGTTCGTCCCTGTGTTCATCGTCAAATGTTTCTTCTAACAAACATATTAATATTTTTACAATGCAAAGTTATGTAAATGAGTTGTTAATAAGAAGGTACAGGAACTAAAAACTTAGGAAAACAGATAATTGTAAATAGCGCGATTAGTGTCATCTAATCTAAATATCATAGGTTACGTTTATTTATTACAACTTTACGTTCGCTGGTAAACGCGCGCGAGTGTCTTTTTCGTTTTTCCAGAGACATATGCATAATAAGAATAATTATAACCAAATAACGTCGCTGTAAGAAAACGTGAACCTTTGGGTCCTCTTACGACACGAATGAGATTCGGTATCTTTGGAGACCTCATCAGTCATACGCACAAGATACCTTTCAGTCAATTCTACGTGTTTGAAGAGTCTAAAGACGCTATTCATCAAACAAATTTTTCCATGCTGATAACTCACAATACAAGCATGTGAAACTTCAACAAGTTCATGCCCTTCCTGTGCAATGCCGTGCCAACAATTGAACATTCGTGTTTCTTTTCCTTTCTTCTAGCTTCTCTTTACATCTCGTTTTGCGACTCGACCTGTGTCAAATACGCCACATTTTTTCCCGAAATTACGTGAGCGCGTTATGAAGTACTGTTTCATGAATAATGGTTTTGTCATCACATCGCCACGTCGCGTCGTATAGATACTGTAATTTACTGATATGCGTGAAGAGCGAGGTATTGCATATATGGTGTTACGTCAGCATAGAGGGTAATAACACCTTTTCCTTAGGTGCATCTGCGACAATAGTTCTGTAGATAACTCACTCTCTCTCTCTCTCTCTAAAATTTATTATATTTGGTTCTGTTTCGTATTATTTGTAAACGTAATTTATCATCTATCATTCACTGAGTTTATATGTTATTTCTTTTTTTATTCTTTTTTATTAATTGATTTTTTTTGTAAATGTTCTTTGTTCTGTACATGGTTGCTTTAATTTATTTGTTCTTAGAGACCCTAGAATGGTAATAAACATTCTATCTATATCTATCATCCTTTATCTAGCTTTCTCTCTCTTTCTCTTTCTCTCTCTCTCTCTCTCTCTCTCCGTTTGAAGCACATTATTATGAACATTTCTTGTGCTTCACCGTAGGAACGAGGTGTAGGAACGCAAAGAAATCAGGGGCTGAGCATCGCGAAAATCGCACTCCGAGTGAAACAGCCGTCTCTGGATTCCCATGCCATGTTAATGAGCCTCATAAAACATGGCATACCCCAGTGAACCGAATAACCCGCTGACGCATGTATAACGTGCGTAACGTGTGAACGTGGTTGTATATGCATTCGAGTCTCCACATGTGCAACAATCGCGGATAACACGTGAGATCGTACAAAAGTATATTTTGCGTTCAAATTACTTCATACTTTAAGTAAGCACACGAAAATTTTGCGATCTAATATATTACAAAATATATAATATGTACTTAATTACGTAGTGAAAATTCAATAATAACTTTTATTATTTTTTGTAACAGTTAATCGATTTCACGTTTCTCAAATTAGGTCGAATTACTATTTCGCGCTCAACTTTTTGTACCTTAAAGACGTATTTTAGATTTTAGAGAAGAAAATATTATATCAATAAATATATATACAGGGTGATTCAAAATAGTACGGAGTACAAGACGTGATACTTTATGCAAAAACAAAAAAGATTTTCTTTTAACAAAACTGCGTCCGACAAGTAGTTTTTGCAGTAGAGTAGGTTGAAGTTAACGAATAAACATTTTTGTCTACATGGCGCTCAGGGTTGGCGAGCTCCTTACTCGCGTTATTCAAAATGTGTGGTTCTGTTATAATCAGTTTCTGACATCTTAATACAGTCTTAAAAATAAATAATAATAATAATTGTTTTCGTTATTTACGAAATAAATGATTAAAAGAATTGTCTATGATGCCGTCGCACCATTTGAAAACGTAGATACATATGAATAACAATACGTTTTGAGAGCTGAGCGTTCTAATTCTAAATATCGCACAATTAATATTATTATTAAAATGTATTATTAAATGTGTTATTAAATGTATTAATAAACGTATTATTAATTAAAATGTATTATTAAAACATAACATAAAAGTTAATAATTTTGATTGATTTTTTTATCGTATTGTTTATTGGAAATGATAAAGAAAGAATTAACGCGCGTTTAATGTACCTTACCTCGAACATTTTACTTTATTTTTAATTACTGTTTCAAAATAAATCAGTTTGTCGGCATTTGAGAATTTCGCTAATCAGTAAGTTATTCTTTAAGTTTAATGACATTTATCATACGGAATTGTACGATATTTAGAATTAGGACGCTTAGCTTGCAAAACGTATTGTTATTCATATGTATCTACATTTTCAAATGTTGCGTTAACTGCTCAACCTGTTCTACTGCAAAAACTACTTGTCGGACGCAATTTTGTAAAAAAAAAAGTTGTTCGTTTTAGCATAAAGTATCACGTCTTGTATTCCGTATACAAAACAGAATTTTAAAATATTCTGTATACACATACATAGTATTTTAAAGTTAAAATTACAATTAATTGTAATTATAATAACATTTAAAAAATATATTTAGTACAAAAAAATTATTCTTATTATTTATTATTTAAAAAATTTACCAGGTAATCAATAACAAAATATAATTACCAATGACAGAAAATGCAAGAAATAATAGATTCTAATTTCTATAAAGTATTTAATTTTGGAGCAAATTGATTGAATTTTTTTATTTCTTTCGATAAAATTTATTAACTATAATAAACAGAAGAAATATTTTTTTATTTGTTTTTTATTTGCAATTTCTGGTTTCTTTGAATTATTATATATTTTTAATGTTACAGATAAATATCGCATGAATGTCCAAGCAGTTTGATATTTCCGGCACGACCTTTGCAAGGAAAGATCTCTCGTATCTTTTTACCACCCGCATCTCATTGTTACGAAATTGCGAATTCATGGACGTGAGAACTGATTTTATCCGGTGATATTTTAGCTAGAAGAATCACATGGTAATAACTATTATCATGAAACTTATCGAAATTCTATGCTTTCGCACGACAATTGCTATCTTGATCGTTTTACCTTGTCTTGCATTCGCACTTTACTTCCAGCCAATAATTAGTCCAGTGTCTCTCGTTTAACAGGGCTCGAGTAGCGCTCAAAATTATGCTACATCTGAGATCGTAACACGGGATTTTAAAGAAATCCAAAACAAAAATAATAGGAAAGTAATACCTGAAATTATTCTCTTTTTATCGGCAATGTTTCTCATTCAATTGAAAGTTACATGAAAGCGCGCGATCCAATATTATTTGAAAAAAATCTCATCCTTTTTGCCAATGCAATTAAATTTTTTTTCGTACGTTATAAATATACTTTGCTGTCTTGAGAAGAAACAGGATATCAAACACATGCAATTTTTTTCTCAAATGAATAATGATTTATTTCTGTATTAAGGTAAATCTAATCAGGATTAGATCTCTTCTGCTGTATTAATACATTTTTTAATAATAAATTTATCAAATTACTCCTATCAAATTGCTCATACCTTCTGTGATTATTCAATCAATGTCTCTGATAGCTGATCGTTAACTTAATTCTGTTGTGCTTATGAAAGAATTAATGTAATATGTTATAAATAAGTGTATTTAACAAGAACTCTCTCTCTCTCTCTCTCTCTCTCTCTCAAACTAATAATTAACAAATATAGTCTAGGTTAAAGTCCCTGGTCCACCGTGCTAGAACTCGATCCAAATCCTTGCGGACCGAGAAATGTGTAACCAATTAACTTGTCGTTTAAATTAACTTTTCCGTAAAAATTACATGTTGATTGGCTACACATTCCTAGATCCAAGATCTAGATGCTAGACTCGAACCGAGTTCTAGCACCGTGGACACAGAGTTTAATAAGAGTCTATGCGGATGAAGGTGCTTTATAAATTAATTGAAATGAATATTACTCCATTTGATGTACCACATGTCTTCTTTATTCAAAATTTAGATTTCGATTCTCTTTGGAGTCCTCTTCAGTATATTAATATTTTCTATACAATTTTAACTCTATCTGATTTCACGATTCTATCAGTCAAGATAAAGTTACTCACAGATTGCCAGAAATATAGTGAAATCTGTTTTAACTCAAATATCTTATGAATTCATGAATAACCAAATAAAAATGAACGATTCATCTTAAATTGTCATCGAATCTTGTCATGAAGCTTTGGATAATTCTGTTATTTTCCACATTTTTATATTCTATAATGTATTATGATTTTTATGTGGAACTGATTAAAAACCGTTAAATAATCTTGTGATACTTTATCCAAAATTTCATAAACAGGAATAATATCAAAAATCACAGAAATAAAATTAAAGAAAGAAAAAAAATTAAGCGTTTGACGCATTTTGCAGCCTGAAATTAATTCAATATTTTTGCAAATGTAAGAAAATGTATTTTATAAAATACATTTTCTAATCGCTTAGAAAAGAACACGTACCTTAATAAATACAGTCAACATGTAAACGATGATAATTGTCAGCATCACGCATTGATTGCGAATTAGTTTTCGACGATTATCCATTGTCTTTTGAGTTCTATTTTCCGTGTTTCGAACTTGCCACTTCAATCAAAGTCACTTTTTTCTTTCAAGAATTACGATATATTCACAACTTCTCTCTCATCTATATTAGAATTTCAAATGAGAACAATGATCTTATATTCTGATCTCGATTTAGAAATGGAAAGTAAAATAATTTATGTTTGAATTAACACAAACGCGAATAGAATGATTTTTATGGCACTCAGAGAGTTTGGGATAAAATATTTCTACGCGATCCAAGAATAAAATTCGTTCAGTTGACCGTTGTAATGTTATCTCGATGGAGGTTCAACGTGAATTGAAAGGAGTGCATCGGTGCAGCTGTTACTCTTGAACACGCGCCCGGTCACGTGGCCCTTCGTGTCCCTCTCCGCCTTTAGGACACTCCCGATCAAGCCACCCGACATTCGAATTTTCGTAGAGACCGTATATAAACAGACTGCTAGATACACTATTGCGGCATTCAGGATGTGTTACACTTACGAGAATTCCTTTATAAGCCATTTAGCAAATTTCATTTTGTGGTAACCAAAAATAAAATGGTATAATCGTTGCTCGTGCGATCAAATTCTATAATCGAATGCATTTTCTCAAATTAGTTGACATTCGATTATAAACTTAATTTTGTTATATCTTATAAAAGAACTGCTCTCTCTTTCTCTCTCTCTCTCTCTCTCTCTCTCTCTCTCTCTCTCTCTCTCTCTCTCTCCCCCCTCCCCCCTCTCTCTTTCTCTCGCGAATTGTACCTTGAAGCGGTTTGTATTCGACTTTGTATTCTGACTTCGTTTCGACACGACGAGCTTAGCGCCATGCCGAAACGAGAATATCAGACAATTTACTTGTAATTTCTGTAATGCCATATTGAATGCTCCGGGGATGTAATATAGTTTACGATACCTTTCGTAACTATCGCGCTTTGGTACATCTTTTGCCGCCGGTCACTGTCTCATCACCATCTGTTACCAATTTAATAATCTTAACATTACTCCCCATCATATTACCTACCGCAACTTTGAAAACTGTAATTATACCTCTCTACTTGACAATCTTTCCTCTTCGCTTAAGCATAAACTCCCTATTTCTCATAGTAGCGAATCAAACCGACTCTTAAACGAAGTGATTCCTAATAATATCGATTGTGACCTTATGACCTTGTATAGCGGTATAACGGAGGCTTTAGATGAACATGCACCCATTGTTACAAAGCATATTCTAAAGCGTTCTATTCCGTGGCTCTCATCTGATCTGCGTAAAAGAATCAAAGAACGTGATAAAGTATTTACACGTGCAAAGCGGACTCGCAATTCCATGTTGTTAGAGCAGTATAAGTATTTGCGTCGTACAATTAAGCAAGATATTAAGTCAGCTAAAAACCGTCACATAAGCAATCTAATACTCCAACAATCGAACCCTAATAAATTGTGGTCATACTTGCGCAGGTGTGGTCTTGCATGCAGTGAATCATTATCTGCGCTTCATCACTTCGCCCCATCTATCTTAAACCGTCACTATGCATCCATATCATCAAATCATCCGCTCTGTGATCATGCAACACTTAACTCCATCCTATCTCGGACTATTCTTAACTGTCAATTGTCATTCAATTTTTCTCTCATTAGTCACCTCGATGTCTTCAACAGCCTCAATTCCATTCTCAAGAAAACTCGTGGCCGCAGCCCAGATCAACTTCCCCTTGCGTACTTAAAGCTATTATTTCCAGTCATTGTTCCGTATCTAGTAACTATTTTCAATCAATCCCTTATTACTGGTGTTTTTCCATCCCTCTGGAAATCTTCATATATTATTCCACTCAAGAAAAATCCCGATCCTTCTAATCCATCTGACACACGACCAATAACTAACTCACCTCACTTGTCTAAAGTCATCGACTCTCTAGCTACGCGCCAAATTGTTGCATTCCTTGAAAACAATGGCATACTGCATCCCAAACAATGTGGTTTCCGCAAATATCACAGCACTCAAACGGCACTATTGCATCTTCTTGATGACATCCGAGTGGGTGTGGATAGGGGCTTCGTTACTATATTGGTGTTATTCGATTTCTCGAAAGCTTTTGACAGCTTGAGTCATACTACAATCTTGACTTGTCTACGAGAAATAGGCTTTGAGGATTCAGCGCTCAAGTGGATGCATTCATTTCTGTCAGGACGGTCCCAGTCCATAATCGGACTAGACGGCCAGCCGTGTCAGCTCGAATTTACAACATCAGGCGTTCCACAAGGAACAAGCTTAGGACCTATTCTCTTTATAATTGTCATCAATACTCTATTCTCCAAACTTCAGCATTGTCGAGATACTACCATCATCTTCGCTGATGACACTCAATTCTACCTATCGACTCCTATAAGCCGCATTAATGATACCATACAGCAAATAAATAGTGATATTGCTAAGTTACTCCAATGGTCCAGTGAATATGGGCTAATATTAAACACCCGTAAAACAAAAGCAATTATCCTAGGATCTACACAAAACCTAGCATCCCTTAGTGACCTACCTCTTCCACCAATCATAGTCGGTACTGATGTGATACCCTATTCTGACCATGTCAAGAACCTTGGAGTAATAATCTCATCTGACCTTTCATGGAATCGGCACGTCAATACAATCTCATCAAAAGTTCACAATGTTCTTCATAGACTAAAATTCCGCGGCTCATTCTTACCAACTTGTGTTAAACTATCACTCGTTAATGCACTGGTCATCCCTCACCTTGATTACGCCTCGCTTGTTATTGCTGATCTATCTGGCTATCTTAATATCAAGTTACAAAGAATTCAGAACATCGCTTTGAGATATGTCTACTGTTTGCGGCGAGATGATCGATTAGCACCATATCGAGGGAGAGCAAACTGGCTGACCATTGCATCGAGGAGGCAATATTTCCTCGGCAATCTTACTTTTCAACTTCTTACTACATCTCAATCATCGTATCTATCTTCCAGATTTACCTTCATTGATGACTCCCTCCGTCGCTCATCTCGTTTTCGTTCTAATACCTTCATGCTCCCGACGCCACGTACCAATATCTTTGCCTGTTCCTTTTGGATCAAGGCCATCAAATTCTGGAATTCATTACCACTTAGCCTGCAGGCCCTCACCACTGCCGCAACTTTTCGTATCAATTTGTACGATTTTCTACGAAATACAGGCAGTGACTAAATTTAGTAACCTACTTAGTTAACTGCATTGCGAAACATAATATATAATATTTTGTTGTTATCGGTTATTCTGTATATTGTATTGTTGCACTGTAAGTCTCGGAATCTAATATTTAGCTTTATAATTTAAAAAATATACTTATATTATTATCTTATTATTATAAATTAACTATATACCATCATGCTACTATTATTAATGAATGTAAACCTACCACTCATATATTGTATTGTTGTACTGTAAGTCTCGGAATCTAATATTTCGCTTTATAATTTAATATACTTATATTGTATTATCTTATTATTATTATAAATTAACTATATACTATCGTGCTACTATTATTAATGAATGTAAACCTACCACTCACTTTTCTAAGGAGAATAGGTAACTTTTTATACTCGTATCCTGCTCAGAGAATGTAAGAGTAGAATGCTATTCATGTATGTCCACGGCCCCCTCGGTGGCCAGGACATTAATAAATTGTAATCAATCAATCAATCAATCTCTCTCTCTCTCTCTCTCTAATATGTTAAATATATATATATATATTTACATATTCACAATTATGCAACAAGTTATTTAACTGTATTGATTAAAGTGAGATTAATTTGCAGATTTACAATAATTCCATGACGGAAATTAACTTAATATTCTTACAAATGTAAGAAAATGTATTTAAAAAAAATTGTAAGGTTTTTAAACATTTTAAAATAAAACTATCCATAATTGTAAAGTTATTAAATATATTGACAATATTATTTAATTAAGTGAATTTGAACTTAATGCATACATTCTTATCGGAATAAATAAAAAAAACTCACTCTTTGAATGTGATATGTTCGAGTCAGTATTTATACCAGTTATCTTGCATTTCTTTCATCACCAGCTAAATATTTCGTGTTGCTTTGCTATTGCACATTACACCAAACAACCTGTGAAGCAGGTGTGCATTCTTTCACAAATGGACAGCAGATTCATGTCATGATTAGTATTGTCGATAAAATTTGTGATTCATAAATAATAACAAATAATTATAAACATTAAAAATAATCTTTCTAAAATAAATTATATATTACCCTTTATAAGTTTAGAGACATTTGTAATTTTTTCATATCTCACGAAAAGTTAAATCTCTCGATAAAAAAATTCATAAACCAAATTTACTAAATGAAAGTATAATATGTGTGCAAAAATAAAAAAAAGTACAGTGATATCAATAATCCCGTGTAGAAATCCATCTAGTAAACTTGAGTTACGACCTAGTCACATAGACAGCATCCACTAGATAAGTTTTCTATCTAGTCACTGGACAGATACTAGATACATTTTTTTATTATAAAATAATGTGTCTACAGACTGTATAGTAATTAAGACATAAGACTGACATGTTAATTTCAGTCACTAGATAGATTTCTTAATATGAAAAAATCTGTCTAGTCACTGGACAGTAATTAAGATGCAAGACATACATTACAATTTCTATGCAGCTACTAGACAGATTTTTTAATATTGAAAAATATGTCTAGTCACTACATAGTAATTAATAAGTAATTCTATTAAGACTGATAATTTCTGTCTAGTCACTAGATAGATTTCTTAATATGAAAAAATCTGTCTACCCTGCTTAAAAATTCCCATTGAAATCAATAGAAAACGATTAAATCCGACAAAAATGTAATAGGAATGAATCGCTTCAACAGGAAATATAAATTCGTCTTAGACCGATATTTATGGTCAGTTTTTATATTCAAGATCATCATAAGTTCAGTCTTGTGGTGTCACGAACCGATCAAAGGGTCACA